GTACAATGAATCCTTTTCATATACTGTACAGTTTACTGGGTCTTTTTCCAACCTATTCTGTGGTTAAGTCTAAACACTCCACCTGGGGCTGGGGAGCAGTTTGGTGGGCTGGGGAGCAGTTTGGTGGGAGAGTGTCTTCCTGGCATACATGAGGCCAAACAATAATAAAATAAAGTCTCCATATCCTCCCATGTCAAGTGCACCAGAGATTCTCCTCAGGCCATAGACACCAAAAATCAATTGTACCGACCATGGTGTAACAATTTGATAACTTTTTCTTTTCTCTGCACTCAGCAAAAAGAGAAATTTTTGCTGTACCACAGCCCCAAGAGGACACAGATGTGAGGAAGTTCTAATTCCTGTCTCCAGGAAGTCCCTTCCTCTCTCCTTTGTGGGCTGAACACGAAGTCCAGATTCTTCCACTGGTTATGTTCAGAACACAGCCTGGGATTAGAAGTGATTCTGCTTCATGAAAGGTAGTAAAATTTCCAGATTCAGGACTGAAGATATAGCTCAGTGGTAGGGTGCTTGCCTAGCATATGAAAGGCCCTGGGTTCAATCCCCAGCACTAAAAAATAAATAATAGATAATAAAATTCCCACATTCAGAAAGGGGATAGGAGCATTGGTGTTGCTCAGGTGGTAGAACACCTGCCTAGCTAGTGCAAGGCCCTGAGTTCAAGCCCCAGTACCACCAATAAACAAACAAATAGAAAGGGATGGGGCAAGAGGACTGTGATTGCTTGGGAAAGAAAGCTGAATAGAAGGCAGGTAAAATAGAGTGTAATTAATCCATTCTCTGTCTGTTTAGCTCATCAGAGCACATGCAAATTATTTCTCCATTCACTAATAAATGCATCCTTGGGAGACCTCCCCACTCCCCGCCAGCCCTAAGGTGTGATTCTGAATCTATTAGATAACACCTTCTCTCCCTCTTCCTCCAGAACAGCGTAGGGACTCCCCTACCTCAGCACCATCTCCTGGAATAGGCAGAAAATTAGGTTCCTCCCTGCCCTCCTCCCAAGGTCAGAGTGGTCCAACTTGATGGAGTTGAAGTGTTTTTGTGTGTACATCCCAACCAGGGTCTGTTAGATAAGGAGGGGCTTTAATTACAGCAGCCCATCTCCCCACAGGCAGCCCGTCACATGTTCTCCCTTCCCTGATCTAATTCTCTCTCTGCCCTGTTGAGGTTGGCCTGGCCTAAGAGGATTGAAGCATTTGCCAAATGGGACCAGGGCAGGGTCAGAGAACCAGCTGAAGGGAGAAGCAGGGACTAGGATGGCCACAAGGGGGCAGCAGACAACACAAGAAAAGGAGAGTCTGAAGTGAAGTGTTCCTGCCTTGTGTGTGTGTGTGTGTGTGTGCGCGCGCGAAAGAAAGAAAGAGAGAGTGACAGAGAGAGGGCGGAGAGACAGAGACAGAGAGAGATAGGGTTCAGACCACCCAAACAAGAACAATGTTTTAACAAGATGCCCATGAATTGACTCATGGTGAAACTATACTGTGCAGATAAGCTATTGGAATTTAAAAAGAATTGAGCTAGGTTCCTGGGAACAAAATAAATAGATCAACTGAATCGTGTATACAAGAAAAACAGATATTGGCTAGGCACCAGTGGCTCACACCTGTAATCCTAGCTACTCAGGAGCAGAGATCAGGAGGATCACAGTTCGAAGCCAGCCCAGGTAAATAGTGTGAGAGATCCTATCTCAAAAACATCCACCACACAAAAAAAAAGAGCTGGTGGAGTGGCTCAAGGCCCTGAGTTCAAGCCCCAGTACCACAAAAAAAAAGAAAAGAAAAGAAAGAAAAAAGAAAGATAATCAGATAAAAAAGGAAATTGAAAACACCAAGTGGTAGAGTGCCTGCCTAGCAAAAAAGCCCTGAGCTCAAACCCCAATACTGCAAAAATAAATAATAAAAAAAAAGAAAGAAATATGTATATTGTATCATCCAGTGCTGGTGGAGTGGCTCAAGCAGTGAAAGCACCTGCCTAGGTAGTGTAAGGCCCTGAGTTCAAACCCCATTGCTACCAAAATAGATAAAGTGCCAAAAAAAAAAAAAAGCATCCAAATGTTTGACAATAATGAAGATGAAATATTAGAAATAATTCTACAGAAAAATGTGTGGTTAAATAATACTTTGTGGGTAAACTGTAAAAACCAAATGAACAAATAGTAATAAGTACTCCAAGTAGAGTGGATAGGTCAGTATTGTAAATATGTCGATTCCTACCAAAAACACTTAGAGATTTAAGATAATTTCAATTAAAATGCCAACAGTTTTTAAGGAACTTCAAAGTTCATTTTAAAAGTTTAGAGATAAAACTCAGGGATATACCCAAAGGAATGTGACACAGGTTACTCCAGAGGCACCTGCACACCCATGTTTATTGCAGCACTATTCACAATAGCCAAGTTATGGAAACAGCCAAGATGCCCCAGCACTGACAAATGGATCAAGAAAATGTGGTATCTATACACAATGGAATTTTATGCAGCCATGAAGAAGAACGAAATGTTATCATTCGCTGGTAAATGGATGGAATTGGAGAACATCATTCTGAGTGAGGTTAGCCTGGCCCAAAAGACCAAAAATCATATGTGGACTTTAGATCTAGGGCAAATACAGCCTAGATTGAACTTTTGTCACATGATAAGGGGAGAGCACACACGGGAGAAATGAAGATAGGTAAGAAACCCAAAAAACATGATAGTATTTGATGTCCTCAATGCAGAGGAACTAATGCAGAAACTTTAAAGCGACAGAGACCAATAGGTGAAGGGAATCAGGAACTAGAGAAAAGGTCAGTTTGAGAAGAATCAACTTAGAATGTAACACATTTGTACATGAAGCAATGTTAGGAATCTCCCTAACTATCTTTATCTCAACTAGCAAAAATGCTTTGTCCTTATTATTATTGTTTATACTCTCTCTTCAACAAAATTAGAGATAAGGGCAGAGCAGTTTTTGCCTGGAAGTGAGGGGGTGGAGGGGAGAGGGAGGGAGGGAGTGGGGGGGTAGAGGGGAGAAATGGCCCAAACATTGTATGCACATATGAATAAACAAAAAAAAAAACTTTAGAGATAAAATTGACACTCTTGGTAAAGCAAGTAAGACATGATATAGCAAATGTCTAGGATCGTATGGTTTTTGTTTTTTGGGGTTTTTTTTAAGAATGAAACCAACCTGTTATTGGTTTGCAGACAGATATTTAGACTAACAGCAGAGAATAAAGTCCGGGAAGACACACCACTAATGAACCCTTTATACAGAGAGGCACTGGAAGAAGAGGAAGAATGTTCCTGAGTTGTAACCTGGGCCACATAAGCAAGTCTCAAAAAATAATAAAAATAAATAAATAAAAGAAGTGGGTCTGGGGAACAGTATAAAGAGTATTTTATTTGATAGTGGACAATTAGTTATCAAGAGGGCTGGGAGACTGATCCAGGTGGTAGAGTATCTGCCTAGATAGCTATTAAGAAAAAATAGCTGGGTACCAGTGACTCATACCTGTGATCTTAGCTACTTGGTAGGCTGATATCTGGATTAAGGTTCCAGGCCAGCCTAAGTGGCTAGTTCTTAAGACCCCATCTCCAATATAACAAGAGCAAAATGGACTGGCGGAGTGGCTCAAGCAGTAGAGCACCTGCTTTGCAAGCATGAGACCCTTGAGTTCAAACCCCAGTCCCACCAAAAAATAGCAAAATTGAACCCCTACCTCACACCATAGACAACAACCTGTATTCAAGGTCTCAATGTGAACAGTAACAGGAAAACTTTCATAAGATAAGACAGCCAGGCACTGGTGGCTCTCGCCTGTAATCCTAGCTACTTGGGAAGCTGAGATAGGCAAGATCAAGGTTCAAAGCCATCCCCAGCAAATAGTTCATGAGACCTTATCTCAAAAATACCCAACACAAAAAAGGGCTGGCAAAGTGGCTCAAGTGGGTGGCAACATATATAGAAACTTTTGTAACAATTTTATTAACTTAAACCTAATTTTTAAGTTGTGTGTATTGTGAAAACTCTTTTTGGTTTAAGATGTCAGTTGGGCAATGAATTTGTGTGTGTGGTACTGGAGCATGAACTCAGGGCCTACACCTGGAGCCACTCCACCAGCCCTTTTTAGTGATGGCTTTTTTTTGAGATAGGGTCTTGGAAACTATTTGCCCATGCTGGCTTCAAACCTCCATCCTCCTGATCTGTCTTCTGAGCAGCTGGGATTACAGGCGTGAGCCACTGGCGCCCAGCTGACAATGAAGACTTTTTAATGATATGCAGAGGTACAGTAGTAAAATAGACAACAATAAATTTTCCCTCAAAAAATTTATTCATTGAAAAAGAGTAAGCCACAGAACAGACTACAATATACTAACTGCCAAAAGAACTTTATATTAAAATGCATTAATTTATATAAAATCTAATTCTAAAAAGGACCAAATGAGACTTCCCAATTCCCTCATATGAATGTCCACATCTCAAACATGAGGGATATGACACTAAAATAAGAAGTGGGGAGGGGGCTAGGTAGAAGAGCGCTTGCCTATCTTGCCGGAGGTTCTGGGTTCCATCCCTAGCACCCCCACCCCTCTCTAAAAATAATTCCTGAGGGTACAGAGAGTTTATAAGACCTCCCCCCAGCCCTGGGATGGCCAGTAGTAGAGGCCTGTCTTGGCATATCCAAGGACCCAGATCCAAAAACAGATGAAAGTTTTGCCAGGTGTGGCAGCCTGCACCTATAATCCCAGAACCCAGGAGCAGCCCTGGAATGCTCTCATATGGTCCAGATGACCAAGTAGGGGCAGTTAGTGTCCACATAGGGAAAAAAACAAATGATCACATCCAGCAAGGTGGGGAGCCCCAGCGTGAGGGCCCGCTCGGCTCTGGGATCCATAGCGAGCTGAAGGCAGACTCCCTGTAGATTCACCTGGGGGCTGGGTGACGGAACTTGCACTCATGAGGTCCTGGGTTCGATTCCCCAGCAACCAAAAAGAAGATTTAGAAATGTCCAGGGCGTGATTTGTCCTTGTCCGCAATGCCACCTCTGTCTTGGTGCGCAGATGTCATGGTAGATACGAACTGATCTTCATCAGGGTCTAGGGGTGAGAAGAGCTCTGGGAATAACCCAGTGTCTCCCGAGAACTCAGCAGCATAGGCGTTCTGAGGCCAGGTTCCGGGTGGGGCTGGGGCTGGGGCTGGGGTTGGGACGCCAGGTGGGGCTCCCGGGATGCCGTTGTAGGGGCTGCACCCGGGAACCCCCCACGTCTGACCCACACTAGAGAAGGGGGGACCCTTTGATGGGAAGGTATCCAAGGTGCTGGGTGGAGGAAGGTAGCCTAAACCTGGGTTTCCAGAGACCACAGGCTGCGCATTGGCTGGGGCAGGGATAGAGGAACCAGCTCTGGGGTTGCGGCGTCCAGCGCGTGCTCCGCGGCTGGCCTCCGGGCACCCCGAATCCGAGGATTGTAGTTGTTTCTGGGAACGCTGCCGAGAGAGTTTAGCCCGCCGGTTCTTGAACCACACCTGGAGGGACAAAGGGAACAGGGAGGAGATGTCAAAGAGTGCCCCAGGTATGAGGCTGCTAGGTGGGAAGGTAGGGCCTCAGCCTAAACCTCCACCCTAGCCTCAATTAAAGGCCCTGAAGGCCAAAGAGGGAGAGGCCAGGGGGTGTGGGGTACAGAGCCTGGCGCCCAGGTATCCACGGACCAGAGAGGGTCTGCTACCGAGTCCTTGAGTTTACAGGAGTGCTCTGAGGTCTGGGCCCCAGGACACCCCGTGGAGGGGTAGTCTAGGCAGATAGTGTTGGCGGGTTTGGTCAGCAGAGGACTGAAGCAGGGACTTTGCCCAGGGTCCCCGCGCGGGACCCTTTGCCAGCCCTGCACCCCTCTGCACCTAGTGGCTCCTCCCGCATAGCATGGGAACATGTGAGGCGGGTCAGGGCTTCATGTGGTGAATGCTGATGATGGGGAGTAGGTTTTGTGATCAGAGGGTACCAGACCTGCACTTGATGCTCCTGCAGATTCAGCCTTTCCGCCAGAGCCTCACGGTCCTGATAGGTTGGATATTTGGTCTTCTCAAACAGTGCTTCCAGCTGGCGCTGCTGCTCTTTACTGTACACGGTGCGCTCCTGCCGCAGCCTCCGCGGGAGGCCTGAGGAGCCTGGAGGAACCGGAGGGGCTGGGGACGCCCAAGGGCCTGGAGGCACTGAGGGGCCTGGAGGATCTGAAGTAACCGCAGGGACTGGGGGTGCCCGGGGTCCTAGAGGCACTGAGGGGTCTGTGGGAGCTGGGAGTCCTGGAGGAACTTGGGGACCTGGAGGCACTGGTGGGCCCAGGGGCACTGGAGGGCCTGTAGTAACTTGAGGACCTGGAGGAACTTGGGGCCCTGGAGGTATTGGGGGGCCTGGCGGCACTGGATGTCCTGTAGTAACTGGAGGCACTGGAGGACCTGGGGGCACTGCCCGAGGTAGGCCCATCAGGAAACCTGGAAGGAGATGGGAAACAGATGAGAAGGTCCCACAGAAAGTTCCAGGATCTCCCTTGCCCCCATAATGCTCCCCCTCCCCTGAGCCAGGCTCTCCTACAACATGGCATGGCTGCAGTGGGTCAGGAAGCATTGCATCTAAACCGACACCCTTAGGTCCACCCTGGCCCTCTACCTTGGAGCCCCAGACCTTGCATCTCTCTGGAGCTCAGTGTCCACATCTTTGCAATGGGCCTGGAGACAAGGCCTGTGCTATTCTGGGACCTCGGCCCAAGAAGGAAAGCACGGACCCCATCTCCAAATAATCAGAGGAAAAAAGGGCTGGAGGCATGGCTCAAGTGGTAGAGCACTTGCCTAGCAAGCTCAAAGCCCTGAGTTCAAACCCCAGTACAAAAGGAAGGAAGAAAAGAAGGAAGGAAGGAGCAGAGCACTGGTGGCTCATGCCTATAATCTTAGCTATGTGGGAGACTGAGATGAGGAGGATCCAAGTTTGAGACAAATAGTTCCTGAGGCCCCATCTTTCAGACCAAAATGGACTAGAGGTGTGCCTCAAGTCATACAGTGTCTGCTTTGCAAGTGTGAAGCCCAAAGTTCAAACCCCAGTCCCACCAAAAAAAGGAAAGAAAAAGAAACAGGCCTGAAAACAGCTCCTGTATCATTTCAGAGCCCCCAGCTGAGGCGGCCAGGCAGAGGGGCTCCTCACCCCACAGCACCCAGGCTGCTACTCTATACACACTCTCCCATCCCCCTCACTTCCCCACAAAGGGCCAAAGGGACCGTGATCTTTGCAAGGGCCATTGTCTGTTCAGTTCCACAACCTCATTTCACTCCCCAAACCCCACCAGGTCCTCCCAACTCTGCAGGGCAGGAACATCTGTCTTTCTCTAGACGCCCAGGTTGACAATCTGAAGCCTAAGTCACCAGCTCACATCCTTGCCCCCATCTACTCAGGCTCAGGCCTCAGCAACAACTCACCCAGCAAGTTACTAGGTTCTTGCATCCTCCCTCCTGTTCTGCTCTGGCCCATGAAACTCTGAGACTCAGTAGGACCTGGGTTTTAAATCCCACCTCCATGCCATGCCCACCCTGCTGGGACCCTCCCTGTCCCACCCCTCCTCCAGGGAGTTGCCTAGATTAATTAATCCTTTCATTATTGAGCAACCTTTTTTTTTTTTTCCAATACTGGGGTTTGAACTCAGGGCCTCATGCTTGCTAGGCAAGTGAGCCACCCTGCCAACCCTATTTTGTGTTGGGTACTTTCGAGATAGGGTCTCAAGAACTATTTACCTGGGCTGGCTTCAAACCTTGATCCTCCCAATCTCAACCTCCCAAGTAGCTAGGATTACATGCATGAGCCACCAGCAGCCAACTCATGCTAGCTTTTTTTGTTTCTTTGAGCTGAGAAATCTTAGGGGCCCAGATAGCCTAGGTCCCACCCTAATAGGGCTCCAGCCCAGAAGAAGGTGGGGCTCCACATGGGGTCCCCATCTCAGGAATGCACCCACAGCCAGACAGCCCTATACCATCCTCATTTCTTGTCCCCAGTGCCAGGACCCCTCTTCTCCATTGCCAGGCAATTTGCCCACCACCTCTTCCACCTCCCTGGCTGCCCCCCTGTCCCTCCAGCATCCATCCTGCCTGGAGGAGCCAGCCACGTACTCCCTGGTCCCTCAAGGACACCCTGGCTTCAACTGCCCTTTTTCAAGTTGACCCTCAGGTTCTTGGACATGGGGAGGGCTCAGTACACACTGGCCTGACAGTGGCTTGGTTCTTTTCTGATTTGCTCTCAGGCTAAAGTCTAATGGGCTCAGGAGACAGCTGGTCTTTGTCCTCGTGAAGGAACGAGCCAGCTTCTGATTTATAAGTGGGACCCCTGAGTTTGGTTCACGTTGAGTCCAGCTGCTCCAAGCTGCAAATGTGCAGGTAAACATTAAACTAAAGCCATTTGTGCCTGGGACCGATAGTGAATCAGGTCAGGGAAGAACCTCGTTCCCAGGGAACGCTTATTATAATCCATAGAAGGCGAAAATTAAGTAGAAAACCAGTACAAAAATGAAGTCAAACAAATAGGTCTCTTGATTTACCACACTTTCTTAAACTGCTACTTAGTATCTCATACTGGCAATCTACCCTAATTTGATATTTATTCAGCTTCCTTTCTGGAAACATTCTACCATAACTGGACAAAGGAAATTATTCTGCTTCTTTTGGCAAGTTTGTTTGTCTGTTCTTTTTTGTTTTTGAGACACAGTCTCCCTACATAGCTCAGACTGGCCTCAAACTAGAGATCCTCCTGCCTCAGCCTTCCAAGTGCTGGGATCACAGGTGAGCAACAGTATACCAGGGTTATTCTGTTTAAGCAGCTGGGAACACATTGGTCGCCAAGATGGCCCTTCTGTTAACAGGCCCAATCTCTCCATTTCCTTTGTCTGTATGAGTGACTAATACCCCTTTCTACACAACTTTTAAAGAATTTAAATGGAATATTTTGTTTATTGGGTTGATGAAATTAAAATCACATGCCTTAAGGGCTGGCAGAGTGGCTCAAGTGGTAGAGCACTTGCCTAGCAAATGTGAGACCCAGAATTCAAACCCCAGTACCAACGAAAAAAAGAAAAAAGATTGCATGCCTGGGATAAGAGGTGAGGAATCTAATGTTCACCTCTCCCTCCCACCAGAAATGCTCTCGGGGTGTAGGTTGGTTTTTGAGATTGATTTGCTGAGATCTGTCAATGTCCCTCAGCTGATGGCCATCAGGAAGACACCAAGCACTCTGTGAAGTTGGGTTTATTGTGGAAAGGAGGAATTCTAGTGGCATGTCACCAAGAGGGTGTTTGAAAGAAACTTCTAAGGGCTGGAGGAGTGGTTCAAGTGGTAGAGTAGCTGCCTAGCAAGTCTAAGGCCCTGAGTTCAAACCCCAGTGCCCCCAAAGAAAAAGATAATAAACAAAAATAAATTATAATTTACTTTAAAAAGAAAGAAAGAAAGGGATAAAGGAAGAAAAAAGAAAGGACTGTCTATAAGATTTGGGCTTGTGTCTGATGGTTTGGGGAAGGGTTCAAGTGAGTTTTATACCTAAAAAGATTGAAATCAAGGTCCCGAAAATAAACCAAGGGCTCAAGGAATTGAAATAGGGGAAAATGAACATTATATGCCAGAGAACAGCATCACTCACAACAGCCCAGAGGAATGAGTGGATAGACAGAATGTTGTCTGACCATATGATAGAAAAAAGGCCTAGGGCTGGTGGTGTGGCTCAAGCAGAAGAGTGCCTGCCTAGAAAGCGTGAAGCCCTGAGTTCAAGCCCCAGTGCTGAAAAAAAAAAAAACATTTGAAAGCAGGCCTACTGTGGGTTACAGCATCTCACTTTATGGCACTTTGTTTGCAGACACTATGTTTCTTTTCTTTCTTGACAGTTCAGGGTTAGAACTCAGGTCCTCATGCTTGCTAGGCAGGCGCTCTACCACTTTAGCTATATTCCCAGCCACAGACATTGCATTTCTTACAAACTGAAGATTTGTGGCAGGTCTGTGTTGGGCAAGTTATTGACACCATTTTTCTTTTAAATGGGCTCAGCCACACACGATGGCTCATGACTGTAATCCCAGCTAGTTGGGAGGAGGACTGAGGTTTGAGGCTAGCCTGGGCAAAATGTTCTCAAGACCCACATATCAAGCAATAAAAGCTGAGCACAGTGTTGTGTGTCTGTCATTCCAGCTACACAGGAAGCATAAGTAGGAAGATCACAGTCCTGGCATAAAACACAAAACCCTATACAAGAAATAACTATAGCTAAGAGAACTCGGAGCATGGCTCAAGTGGTAGAGTGCGTCCCTGCCAAGCACAGGGCCCTGAGTTCAAACCCCAGGGCTGCCAAAAGAAGACAAGGTCTCACTATGTAGCAGAGGCTGGTCTGGAACTCAAGCTCCCCTGCCTCAGCCTCCCCAGAGATTACAGGACTGAGCCATGACACCAAAACTCTGGGTCTGTCAGCACCATTTTCCCAACAGTGTGTGCTTATTTTATGTCTCTATCACATTTTGGTGTTTTTTTTTTCTTTTCTGGGGTTTGAACTCAAGGCCTACACCTTGAGCCACTCCACCAGCCCTTTTTTTTCTGTATGTGTTGGGTTTTTTTCCAGATAGGGTCTTATGAACTATTTGCCCGGGGCTGGCTTCAAACCACAATCCTCCTGATCTCTGCCTCCTGAGTAGCTACAATTATAGACATGAGCCACCAGTGCCCAGCTACATTTTGGTTATTCTTAAAATATTTCATTATTATACCCAGTATGGTGATCTGTGACCAGTGCTCCATGACATTTGTTTTGTGGTGCCACAAATGGCTCCCAGAGAAGACAGTGAATTTAATTGATAAATGTTGTGTGAAAATAGGAGTGACTTTTGTTTTTTTCTTTTTTGGCAGCACTAAGGTTTGAACTCAGGGCCTCTTGCTTGCTAGGCAGACACTGACTGCTTGAGGTACTCCACCGGCCCACTGTGCGACAGTAGGAGCAGAGGGAGATGAGGGGAAAGAAAGAGCATACTTGGTTATTTCCAAGTACATATGTAAATAACATGGTGAAAGTTCTTTTACAATTAATATACACTAATAAAAAAATTTTATTGTTTTACATGTTGCAATTAGTTCACTGAGCAGCTATTCACTGCTTCTTTCTCCTCAGGACCCCAATACTGACTCACTACAATATAGAAATTAGGTCAGGTAATAACCCTACAGTGGCCTCTGAATTTCCAAGTGCAAAGAAGAATCTCACGTCTCTCACTTTAATCAAAAGCTAGAAATGATTAACCTTAGTGGGAAAGACAGGCAAAGCCAAGTTCAGCCAAAATCTGGACCTCCCCTGCATAACTGTTAACCAGGAGAAGTGTTTGAGGAAAGAGAAAGTGCTACTCCAGGGAACACAAGAATGACAAGAAAGTAAAGGGCTGGGGGCATGGTTCAAGTGGTAGAGCACCTACCTAGCAAGCTCAAGACCCTGAGTTCAAACCTCAGCACCTGGAAGGAAGAAAGGAAGGAAAGAAGGAAAGAAGGGAAAGAGGAAGGGAGGGAGGGAGGCTAATTCCTGATCTAAAAATTATCTAGAAAGAAAATCCCAAGCCAGCCACAATTTACCTTTAAGTCAAAGCCTCTTCCACAGCCAGGCCCTAACTCTCAAGCCTCCGCAAACCAAGAGAGGTGAAGAAGCCAGCAGAGGTTG